GGGCACAGATGATACCCGACATTGCTGCATAGCAGGTCTGTTTAACATCTCTCTCTCTCTCTCTCTTTCTCTCTCTCTCTCTCTCTCTCAGAAAATAGCAATTATTTAAACGTTTTGTTTCTTTTTCAGGTCAACATGAGATCGTCCAAGTTATATGCTGTCGTGTCAATATTAACCGTGTGTTTTATATGCGTTCATCATTTTTTGGTCAACATACAGCCAGGAACTAGAGGCGAGGCGGCTCCAGTTCAACATCGTATGTCCTATATAAACCAAACATCTAATCTTATGACGATCTCTCATTTCAAAGACGTTCCGGATATGACGTTAACAATAAGAATGACTACCAATGTTGGTCTGCTTAATTATTTTTTTTGTGCGTTGTTAAGAAGTCTGACTCTGTATTGGCCAAGCCAGCTTGGACATCTGGGCCTAATACTGGACAAAGAATCCGAACTTGATCACAAATTCGCAAAAAATCTTCGAAAATATCAGGAACGTCTAGGAATAAATATGAGCTTTTACTATGAACCCTTGCCACAAGACGAACGTGTTTTAACTGTCGCGACGTCCAAATCACGCGGCTACAATCGTCAACTGTATTCTAGTTTTATCATGGACAAATTCATCTCAACACCGATAGTAGCTTGGATAGATACTGATGCTAAATTTACTACTCCAGTAACCCGTGAAAATATCCTTAAACAAAATAAGCTGCGCGTAAAAGGAATGGACACGTTTCAGCATAGTTGGATAAAAACCTGGGATATATTAACTGAGAAAATGATAGGGAAACCTATGCCGTCAGACTTTATGACCTTTTTTCCGGTGTATATCTGGAGAGACACAATAACCAATTGTAGGAATCACATCTTAAAATATGTCAACGTTTCTACTATAGAAGAGGCTTATATTAAAATAGGATCTCATTCGACTGGGATTATGAGTCCAGTAAATATTATTATGACGTATGCGTTTTATTTTGAAAAAGAGAGATATGATTGGCACATTGATATTGGAAATGTAAATTTAAAGAAATACAACAAACTTCATCTGTTTCCGGGTCACAAATTAACTTCTGCGGATTTGATACCCGATTTGCACGTGACGTTGCATGAAAAACATTATAGCGATGGTAAAAATATAGTAAATCGTCAAGCTTATTGTGCTGCTGTTGATGACACGGTACTGACCGTGGAACAGAAGATAAAACAAATGTGTGAACCATTTAAAGGACATGTAATGTGGGTGTTGTTTGAATTCTGTAATACAGTTAAACAAGAACACCTCACCACGTGGTGTAAAGATACAAATAATAGCTGCGGGTCAATGATAACAGAACATTATACTAATACACGAAAACTTGTGAATAAAGGTGTGTACAAACTTGACCTAAAAAAGGTCAAGGTCGTTGAAGAGGCTGCGAATTTACATGACGTTACGTGTAGGCCGTTTTTGTAAATTACCGGAATGGACAAAAAAAAAAGTGTATATAAGGCATTCTGAGGTATATTCACGGCGTGTAACACAAGCTGAATAAAATATAAAGATTTAATATTTTTCCGTAACATAAGTTTCAAATGCCAGTACTTTTTAAAGACAGACATTAACTAATAAAAGGCTATGAGAAGGTTGTAGTAAAATTAAATTCCAACGATTCCGAGTGTGACAAGAACTAAAATCTTAGAGAAAAGCTCAAGGCCTATTATATCCGTATTAATGTATGAATGATCTCACATTTCCTGACGAACTGGCAGAAGGGTCCAAGCCAAAGTAAAAACTACCCACGAGGCCCGTTCAAGTGTAAAAGGGGCCCTATCGAATGCAGCAGCCGAATGGTGAACCAGAGAAAAACCTTCACATTTCATATCTAAATTAGAATCTCTCGGTCATGCAATGGAAAGTATGATCTTGTACTCAAACCAAATGTGTCCTACTTTGCCCCTCCCCCCTTTACACTCGGTAATGTAACGGTAGACCTATGCGTGTTGCTGTTTTAATCTATTTTTGTCTTGTATAATTGAAAGTTCACTATTTCCTTCCTTTTTCACAATTTGATCTAAAATATTTTATGGATATATTGGCTAAGACAGTTTTCATTTGGCATGGAGCTCATTCATTGGCTAGGACAGTCTTCATTAGCAGGTATGGAGCAGAAAAGTAGTTCGTTTTGTATAGAATCTGCAAGAGTTGTTGCATAACCTGGTTAATGTGATGAATTAGCCAATGAAACGGTCTGTTGCAGCGAGTTCTTGTCGTGCAATGTACGGAACTGTGGGTATCCTACTAGAAACATCAACGCTGATTGGTTAATCAAATATCTGACGTCATGAACAAAAAGCCGCTCGTATGACCGCTGACGCGATCACTCAAAAATATAAAAAAACCCAAAGAAATATAGATCTGTATTTTAATCGGATTGGAATACTGCTTTCAGGAACATCAAAGAAAAACTGGTTATAAAGTAGCTAAACGTCTAAACTATACCCCTGATACATTGATGACATAAAACCTCTTAAAACATAGATATGACGTCACCCTTTGATGTTTTTAACCATTATATAGGAGAATTTACGCTTTTCTTAAACAATCGTCTATTATTTATAAAACTGTCCATTATTTTCAATAAATAGTGGACAGTTTTATAAATAATAGACGGTTGTTTAAGAAAATACCAATAATAGACACGTATCTGAAAAATGAACATGTATTTTGGGATAATTTATTCTCTGAACAAATTAAATTACAGAAAATGAAATTACTTTAAAACCTCATAGTTACCGAAATGGCACATGGCCAAATGTTGATTTCACGTGTTTGTCTACATAAAGAATTCCACTTAAATCCTTCCGTTATATGTCACTTATCCGTTTAATAGTACGTTCGGCACTAGATCGGTGATACGTTTCTATACGCCCACATTTTCACACCTTCTTTGTGGACACTCTACAGGGCATAACTTGAAATATAGGTTTATATCCCAAACATCTCGTTTCCTTTCGATATTGGCTTGTATGGGACCGTAACTTCATGGTTTATGGCACCTGATTGTACACACTAGAGGTCACAATCATTAGCCCATTTTGATGAAACTGTGTATTTATAACCCAAAGATCTCGATTCCTTGCAATATTGGGGCATATCGGACCGTAACTTCCTGGATTATGGCCCCGGATTGAACAAAAAAACGTGTTTTGAGCCTGTGGAACTATGCAGGTCACAACTTTTATCCAATTATAAAAAAACGTTCAAATATATCACCGTTACACCATAATGACAGTTGAGTTTGAATTTCGTGAATTGGTTTGTGCCTTTGATCCTGTGTCCTGTCACTTATATCAGATTATATATTAAGTTTTAAATCAAAATTGGGACGGCTAGTACCCTCCATATTAACCACAGTATTAAGAAAATTATCAATATCTAAATCATTCTCGCGAGTAACCTTTCCATCACAACTTTGACGGCTATTATCCCCCATATCAAGAACATCACAATTTTTACGGCTATTCTCTTCCATATCGAGTACATTACCAATGTAATCAGTATCCAGATGCTTATCACATATAGTCTCATTATTAATATTTGTTTTCGACTGTGTTGTAAACATGTGGTCTACGTGTAGAATATTTTGGACTGTCTGTGTATGCTTGCATTGTATGACTGGAGTGTTTTGTCACATGCATTCATGAGCATGTGCATGTTGTTTTAAGAATATATCCATTATTTTATGGCTTGTTGTTTTAGAAAACTATCCATTATTTGTATCTCTATGGTGCTATGTTTTAAGTTTGGTAATAGCCTCAGACTGTCCATTATGTAAATACAAAGAAAAACTTCGGGGCTAACGCCTCTCAGAGAGAGAGAGAGAGAAATGGGGTTTAACGTCTACTCGGGACTAACATATGGTTTAATTTTATTTCTATATTTCGCTTGTGCGCAGTGGGAGGAAACCGGAGGACCCGGAGAAAACCCACGAGGTTGGACAGGCGACCCTACTCCTTGTCACGTACAACCGTGGATTGGAAACCACGCCAGTTGACTCAATGACAGACCGTATGATATAGAACGCACGTGCTAATATTATCTAAGATTAAATTAGAATTGTCACCATATTAAAATTCCCATACAATAAATAAAATCGCTCTACTCTCTACTACAATACAGTGCACACGTGCTAACCATTCGGCTATCTAATCCCCCACTCGCAATTGGTAGAACAGTCTGATTCTTCCCATTATATCCGAATCACGCAACGGGGATGAACTTTGTCTTGACAGTTATTTGGTAACTCATACGAGCCGGTAAGGCTGGGGTTTTGTGTCACGCTGACAAACATTTTCTATCCCTTATTCCCCCCTGTTTTTTATTAGAGAAAGTCACAAGTACGGGTGTCATATAGGATCATAATGTATGCTTGACAATTCGCTCTCCGTAGGTTCTATTTTCTTCCATGGTCTACTAAACTTAGTTATTTTGTTGAATTTGGGAAACATATTGGCGTTTCGTTCGGTCATTACCCCTATACGCTTCCGTAGGTTTCTATGAGGTTTCTATATTTACATTGTGTGCATGTTTACTCTAGTATTGTAAAAAAAAATAATAATAAAAGATTTGTTGTCATTTCCAAAATACGTTTATTATATATTATCTCAAGCTAATATTATAATTTATTTTGTATATTAAATAATCAACTATTATTTATCTGTAACATATCATTAACACAAGATTTTGCGATTTCATTTTCTGTATCGTGCAATTTCGTCTGTCATTAACTGCAATGGTTAGATTATCAGCCAATCAAATGACTAGAAATAAGTAGGCGTGTTATTAATTTTGGTCTCGGATATGAAGTATTTAAATCGCTCATAAAATCTTTTAAGCGTCGAGTTGACGTGAATTACAATGGTTGATATTCGAAACGAAAATTTAAAACACGCCTACTTTGATTTTCTGGGTGAACTTGGGCGTTAAGTCTTAAGGACGATCAGAAGTTTTATCGTCTTTCTCAGCGACATCCACTTCCAATGAACCGGACGTTACCCCATCATTTGAAGCGTAATTTATTTTATTAACTGCAATATTGAATACTAATTTAAAGGTAAGGCTCTTTACTTATTGTATATAAAATGTTATATATTTCTAATATTTATTTTTTAAATGTTTTATTATTTTTATATTAAAAAGAGAGAGAGAGAGCGAGAGAGAGCGAGAGAGAGAGATGTCCAGTGCAGCATAATAATATCCAAGAAGGAAGCGTCTTTGGAAAAGCGTTTACGGATTTACTCTACGGCATCGATAATATCGATTTAATTTCTTTTATAGAATAATTATAAACGTGCATAAATATCGCAACATTCGAACGAGAATGTAATAATTAATGTATCCATGTTAAACAGACCTGCAGCAATGTCGGGTATCATCTGTGCCCTTATACCTTAAAATAAGATGCCAACAGAAATTCAGAAATGTCAATTGAATTTCAAATTTTATACCCTAAGAAAAAGAATCAATAGCACTGCCATTGTTTCTGAGGATTGTGGCTATTTTCAACACTAACGCTGATAACTCAGATATATAGGGTTTAACGTCCACTCGACACAAACTAGGTCATTTCGGTTCGGGACTAACACATGGTTCAATTTGTTATTTCAATAATTCGCTTGCGCGTAGGGGTCTGTAGCAGTGGGAGGAAACCGGAGGACCCGGAGTAAATCCACGAGGTTGGACAGGCGACCTACTCCTTGTCACGCGCAAATGTAAGATTTAGATAAATAGCTCGCCGTTCTTGCTATAATAGTTCAAAAATAGATAATGCAAAATGAATATATTGAAAAAACTTCATTCTATTACTTTATTCTGAGCCAAGTTGGCAAGATGTGTGCATTGATTGTTTACTATCGTTACCACGGTACTGGTATATTCGAGGCTAAGCCGCGTTTCTCCATTTTTTAAATTAAATCATTAAATGACTGAGCCGTTCTAATTTAGTTAAAATCCCGAACATCCGATGGCATCGAGAGTTGCTTATGGTTTATATAACAATTATATAGAATAGTATATACATGGTTGGCCAATCAATTGTAGAGATTGGCATAATAGTCAGTTATCAGCTGGAAATCGGCACATTCTTATTCGGCAGACTAAAAACCAGGCCCGGTGGAGTGGGGAGCCCCCCCCCCCCAAATAATTTGGCCGCAATTACTTTTTTCTCCGGAATATTGAACGCAAGTAATTATGCCGTTAGATACAACGAGGTCTGATTTTAACATAGAAGTGTGACCTCTAGAACGTAGACTATTAGAAGAAAAACCCTATTATGCTCTATACTGATCCCTGGGTTGAGAGACCCCCAGTTGCAAGCAAAGGCGTACGGGCTCGGTGAATGTAAGGGGAGAGGGGTACAACTTGAAATGTCCCCAAAAAATAATTTTGGGTTACAGCTGTTGGTGCCGGTCGTCTGCGAGAGGCGAAGGAGCAAAGCTTACCGCGTAGGACCCCCCACCCTCTCCCCCTTAAAGCTACAATTTCATATTTTTAAGTTATATTTTTAAAATGTATTAAAATAAAGCCTTAAAATCGATGCTATGTATCAACAGTCGTACCTTGATAAAGAATATTCCTATTAATCCTATAATTCACTATTGCCAGTTGAGAAATTGGCAAGAATATCATTTTCAACTTCAAATTCAAACGTTTGACGATAGCTATTCCATGGTAGGGAATAGAAAAACAAGGGAGGTAATTAGGAGGTAAATATGTTATTATTTCCGGTGTGAAACATTTTTGAGTGTGGGAATGATAACTATGATCGTATAATAGTGAGTTGACAACCTATTGAGCAAAAGACATAAAATTAATAATTATGTTTTGACTTCCTTAGAAAATATGAAATTCACGCTTTAAAGTAAAGATAATTTGGAAAATTTGACGGCCACAGATCGTGATAGTGGGAACCTAGCATTAAGACGATTGTATTGTTAAAACATCTTCTATTGCTATGTAAGACCTCATTGCGCAAATACAATTAATTGTCGGACAGTTTATGACCCTATGTTTAAAAATATAATATTTATAATAATATGATATTTGAGTAACGTTCTTGTTGAATACTTAATGTCATTTATAATATATAATATAAGGATGATAAACTGCCTTTCCACAGCGCTCGGGACGAGGGAGGAATTACAGTGAGCTAACCCCGAGTTCTCTTCACCCTAGTAAGATAGACGAATATCCGTTTGAATGACCTTTATTCCAATGAAAACTCTCTGTGAAAGCTAGCTGAGTGACGAGTATGACTGTCAAACAAACCAACGTACATGTTCAAGGGTAAAAAGACTGTAAATTGCACAGGATAAACAAAATAAGTTTCCGCTGAAGTAGCGGCCATGCTTGCCGAGGTTAAACAAAGGGAGATAATTCTAATGTTATGATTTACTTAATACCACAACAAAATAGTTCCAGCACACTCCCCGTCTGATATCCTGTACTGGATATCACTTAAATGAATAAAATTAAAACACTTTATGAAATAAAACACTTAAAAATAAAATGTCCAATCTTTGGGAAGAGTCACTTTAAATTATCAAAATGTTAATTGTCCGTTTCCGAATCAAGTAATACCAATTCAGTAACTGGTCTGGTATAAACAGTTGGTTCACCATCTTTTATGATCCGTAGAGTAACTTTCCTGACGTTGTTGTCATCTCCAGGGAAAATCTGTTCCACCATACCAATAGGCCAATCATTGCGATGAAGTTGGTTATCTTTAAGTAGAACAACGTCTCCTGGTTTGAGGTTTGGTTGTGTACTCTGCCATTTTCGTCTAGGTTGTAGAGTGTGAAGGAATTCACGTCTCCATCTGTTCCAGAATGTATCAGCCATAGATTGAACAGCTCTCCATTGTGATTTATATAAGTCCTTTATATTAAATTGTCCTAAAGGTTGTGTGATGTGATCAACCTTTTGAGTGAGGAGAGTTTGTGGTGAGAGAATGGCTGGTGACTGTGTGTCTGTTGAAACCGGAACTATAGGTCGAGCGTTGACTATAGCTGTAACTTCTGCCATGAAAGTTACCAATACTTCATGTGTGAGATATTTTGAAGATACCTCAGCTAACATAGAGTCTAGGATGCGTCTGGTTATACCGATCATACGTTCCCAAACGCCTCCCATGTGTGATGAATGAGGTGGATTAAAGATCCATTTAGCCTTCCTATTATTCAAAAAGTTAATAACAGGACCGTTTTCGTCCATAATGACTTCCATGTTGAGTTCATTAGTTGTACCAATAAAGTTGGTTCCTCTGTCGGATCTGAACTCGGATACGTTGCCTCGAATTGCGATGAATCTTCTGAGAGCGTTAATAAATCCTGAAGTCCCCATGTCTTCAATGACTTCCAGATGAATAGCTCTCGTGGTAAGACAGGTGAAGATGATCGCCCATCGTTTACTGTTTGCCTGGTGACCCCTAGTACGCCTTGAGACAACTGACCAAGGACCAAACGTGTCAACACCAACGTACGTGAAGGGTGGTGCTGGCTTTAGGCGGTTTCCAGGTAGATCTGACATCTTCTGGAACTCTTGTTTTCCTCGTAGTTTTCGACATTTAACACACTTGAAGATGATAGAGGAGATAAGACGTTTACCTCCAACTATCCAAAAACCTGCCGCTCTAACTGCTCCTTCGGTGAAATGTCTGCCTTGGTGTTGTACCAGTTCGTGATGATGCCTGATGATTAGAGTTGATATGTGAGCAGATGCCGGTAAAATAATTGGTGATTTCTCTTGAAAGGGTAACTCTGCTTTTGACAGCCTTCCACCAACGCGCAGCAAGCCATATTCGTCGATGACTGGATCTAGTGTGATTATGGTGCTGTCCTTTGGTAACGGTTTGTCAGCTTTTATTTTGATCAGTTCTTTTCCATAAGTTTCGAGTTGAACTTGTTTGATTATGAACCGTTCCGAATTAAGCTGGGCTTCAGTATTTTTTGATTCATTACAAACATGCCATCCTTTACAGTTTCCTGAACTGTGGTACATTTGAGCAATGTGAATTAATCTACTGATTGTCCAAGTAAGTGTTTTCCATGATGAGAATCGCTCAAACCGATGAATACCCAGCTTGCCTTTGTTGATAGTAGTGAGTAACGTTGTTACAATTGGTCGTACCTCAGAATCCTCTTCTGGATTCCGTAGTTCGTAGAAGTCATCTTCTTCGAATTGCTGTTTCTGGTAAAGGTGAGTAGGACCTTTACGCCATACCGAATGTTCCAGATCAGATGCCGGAACGGACCTGGTTCCGAGATCTGCAGGATTTTTATCCGTAGGGATAAACTGCCATTGTAGAGGAATGGTTGACTTCCTAATGCGGTCTATTCTATTAGTGACATAGAGATAGAACCTACGTGTTCTGTTGTAGATATATCCTAACACAACCTTGCTGTCGGTGTGAAACGTGATGACATCCGGAGTAATATCAAGATGTTCTTGGATAATGTCGTGGATTTCGACTGCTAAGACAGCAGCACAGAGTTCGAGCCTGGGGATAGTATGACCAGAAGTTGGTGCTAGCTTCGCCTTTCCAAGGATGAAGCCAACATGATGATTTCCGTCAGTGTATGTAGTTCTCATGTAAGCTACTGCTGCTACGGCCTTTTCGGAAGCATCTGAATAGATATGCAGTTCCTTACGAGCAATGCCATAAGAAGTATCAGAATACATTCTAGGTATACGTAGATTATCAAGATGCTGTAATGAACATCTCCATTTATCCCATTCCGTGAGTTGTTTGGTAGGCAGAGGTTCATCCCAGTCTGTAGTTGACGACATAAGATTCCGCAATAGAATTTTGCCTTGGATGACGACTGGAGCGACAAATCCAAACGGGTCAAACAGACTGTTTATGGTAGACAATATACCTCTCCGTGTAAAAGGTTTGATTTCCTGTGATACTTGAAAGGTGAATGTGTCAGACGTTAAGTTCCAAGCTAAGCCTAAACTCCTTTGAATAGGTAGCGAGTCCGTAGAGAAATTGAGTTCTTTCAAGTCCTTTGCCAGGTCTTCGGTAGCGAATGCTTCCATGACTTCTGGGCTGTTCGAAGCTATCTTATGAAGATGAAGATTGCCTCCAACGAGAAGGGCTTTTTGAGTTCTTTTCATAAGATCAATGGCCTGTTCTGATGTGGGAAGTGAGGCCAAACCATCATCGACGTAGAAGTTCCTATCTACGAAGTTTTTGACGTCGATGCCAAATGTTTCCTGTCCTATGAGTGCAGACCGTCTCAGTCCATACGTAGCCACTGCTGGAGAAGGACTGTTTCCGAAGACGTGTACTCTCATCCTGTATTCGATAATTTCATTTTCGAATATGTTATCTTTGTACCAAAGAAATCTCAGGAAGTTTCTGTGGTTTTCCTGTACCAAAAAGCAATGAAACATCTGCTGGATGTCCGCTGTGATGCCGACTTCATGTTTGCGAAAGCGTAGAAGTACCCCAAGTAAGCTGTTGGTGAGGTCAGGACCTGTCAACATTACATTGTTAAGGGAGATATTTTCATGCTGAGCTGAAGAATCGAACACTGCTCGGATTTGGTCTTTCTTCTTAGGATGGTAGACTCCAAAAATGGGTAAGTACCAACACTCATCATCGTCTCTAAGAGGAGGTGCCAATTCCGCATGATTGTTATCGAATACCCTTTTCATAAATGTGAAGAAGTGGGCTCTTTTAGTTGAGTCCTTTCTTAAACTATAATCTAACGACTTGGCTCTGTTGGCTGCCTGAGTTCGATTATTTGGTAGACGGGGTCTATTTTCCTTAAAGGGTAACGGAGCAACCCAATTACCACTTGAATCACGCTGGAATTCTCGATCCATGATAACGAGAAATTCGCGATCTTCTACCGATGGTCCTAGTTTTTCGTCGTTGCGGGAGAGTCTAAATACGGCTTCCCCAATTCCATCGTTGAATGAATCCTGTGATGTGAAGACATCGTACCTTGTTGGATGTAGATCCTTTAATTCCAAATTATTCGGACAGGGCTCGAATAATGTATTTCGACCGTTTGGTAAAGTGTGAGTTTTGTTCACATTGATTACTTCCGGTTTATGTATGTTGCCTAGGCAAGCCTCTCCAATAATTACCCATCCTAATGGGAGTTGTTGAGCGTAAGGTGAATTACGCGGTCCTATCCGTTGATCTAAGACGTGATGAGCCTCAATCAAATCTCTGCCAATTAACAGCTGTATATTAACCAAATCATCCACTGGTGGTATGAATTCAGCTATGTCCTGTAGGTGAGAGTGATGAAGAGCTACTTCCGGAGAAGGTATTTCATCTCTAATTGCCGGTATGTGGTCGCACTCAATTAACTGCGGAAGTTCAAATTTCGCGCTTCCATCCAAAGATTCAATAGTTATTCCTGTTGCCTTTCTGCCAGACGTAGGAAACGTGCCTGCACACGATGATAGTGTGTAAGAGAATGGTTCTGCCTGAACTTCGAGTGAGTCGAAGATGCCTTTGTTTCCGAGTGACCTATTACTTTGATCATCGAAGATGCCATAAACTTGAACTGTCTTAACTGGATTTTCAGTTTGGTAGACTTTTAGTTGAATTATTTTCGCACAAGACTTGCCTCTAAACTTATCGCTGCATACTTGTGTACACTTTGATGTAAGTTGTTTTGGTTCCGTACGCTCCCCGCCGTGGTTGACTGGAGCTGAAGAGGTTCCACTGGTAACTGAATCCGAATTCACGTGCATAGCAGAAGCATGTTGGTTGCTATTGCAAATATCGCATTTGATATTTTCTGTACAAGCTGCAATTAAATGTTCTTTTGTTGCGCAACACCTATAGCAAAACCCAATAGTCTTTAAATATGCCTTCCGTTCACTGATGGGTTTATATCTAAAGGCATTACACTCGTTAATCGAGTGATTAGTATGATGGATTGGACATTTTGATCTATTATCCGTGACCTCAGATTGCTGTTTAACTTCTGTTTTCCGTGTGGAAATATTCGTCCTTAAAGCTGGAGCTGATACCTTTGAAGGGAGCCTATCCCGTTGATTATTTGGTTGATTGTAAGTGCGGTCGTAGGCAAAACTTGGATCATTCTTGGTCTTGCTTACATCTCGTATAAATTCCGCAAAGAAGGAAAATGGTGGAAATGGTACTTGATATGTCTTCTTATATTTGACAGCTTGGCCGGTCCATTTCTCTTGAATTCCCCGGGGAAGTTTGTTTACTATGGGGATAACTCCAGATGAAGAGTCAAAGTAGGCCAAAAGTGAAGCATACATCGGGTCTTCCTTGGCCGATTCGATTTCAGAAATAATATCGGACAACTCGAAGAGTTTCTTATTGTCTTTATCAGTGTATAACTTCGGAAAGTTAGCAAGTTTGTTCTTGAGTGATGCTTCCACCAGTTCTGGGCTTCCATACCTTTCATCAAGGCGTTCCCATATCCGTGCTAATCCGCGAGCTGGGTTGCTGACATTAGCTGCCTTAAGACTAATAGCATTTCTAGACGATTCCAATCCTAACCACTTGATCAGCAAATCCATTTCTTCTGAGGTTGTGACTTGGAGTTCCGACTTAATATGTAAGAAACCTGACTTCCATACTGCGTAGGATTCTGGTTGATCATTAAACTTTGTAAACCTTGAAAGGAGTAAGTCTTTCTTAAGTAAAAACCTTGAAAGTTCACCTGTTATGGTGGTGTTACTATTTAAAGTTGCGTGTGGAAGTGAACTAGGTTGTGAAAATGCAGTTGCGTCAGTTTTTATAGATGGTGCATTGGTGGGTGGTCCACGTTGTACCTGAGTCCTATTTCGTTCCTGTAATAGAGGAGGCGCCTGCCTGGGAAGTTGTGTGTGCTGAGCAGCAGGTTCCAATACCCGTGTTTGAGGGCTATCAACTTCAGGATAATATGGTCTGTGGTAATAATCATACTGATGATTAGACGGGTACCACTGGGATTGATAATCATAATGTTGTTCATTATAATTATCGTAAGGGTCATATTGTTGATTTTGATAATCGGTTAGGTTGTTTTCAAATAGTGTATCTTGATTCTGATCGACAAATTGTTGTGTGCGTTCCATTGTATTTTCCCTTGGTAAACTTCGTAATTCTGATTCGCATGATCTAAAACTTGAGCCTTTGTGTGATTGAAAAACACGAACTTCAGCCTCAGCGACAGCGACGTCAGTTTGCTGTTGAATAAATTCTAATTCGGCATCCAATTCTGCATTAGCATGCTTTAGACGAACAGTTTTTCGTTGTTCCGCAAATTGGGCCTTAGCACGAGCTGTCTCTGCTTTGGTCTGTTTTTCTAATATCATAGAGCTGGAGTCCGATCTGCTTGTTCCAGCCGCTCGCGACACTGTAATCATCGACCTAGAGGGGCCTTGTAAGTCGTTGTCACGTCCATTATCCGATGCCATATTTGTATGTGGAAAATTAATATTTTGCGGTAAGTGCTGTCCATACAAATATAGTTTTACCTTGCCGTGATAATATTCACCGTTATTCAATGAATATGTAGTAAGTAATGTTAAAAGAATGTAAATATTCAAGAATCCTTTTATTGTCATTTATGCCTTTTATTATTTATTTTGGCAGGAATAGTGTTCCATACAAATAAATTTAATGTTATATATGTTAAACCGTGCCGTTATTGTCAATAGAACAAACGAAAAAGTTCCTAGAATGTTTTGTAATAAAAACTGCAATCGTTGTTTTTTACAAATGGCTGAACCGGGCCACCGTAGTTTTACAGAAATTTTTGGCGTGACTTGTTTTACAAGTGTACCAAGCACCTATATCAGACAATGAGAGGTTGTCTCACGTTGATATTTTGTTCCTATAGCTTGTGATTGAAGCTATGATGTCCGTGTTTACATGTGCAAACTAGTCTTTTTACTAAACTGCCTTTCCACTGCGCTCGGGACGAGGGAGGAATTACAGTGAGCTAACCCCGAGTTCTCTTCACCCTAGTAAGATAGACGAATATCCGTTTGAATGACCTTTATTCCAATGAAAACTCTCTGTGAAAGCTAGCTGAGTGACGAGTATGACTGTCAAACAAACCAACGTACATGTTCAAGGGTAAAAAGACTGTAAATTGCACAGGATAAACAAAATAAGTTTCCGCTGAAGTAGCGGCCATGCTTGCCGAGGTTAAACAAAGGGAGATAATTCTAATGTTATGATTTACTTAATACCACAACAAAATAGTTCCAGCACAGATGATGATGGGTGAATGTGTATACGTATACATAGATAACACCAGCGATAAATAAATTCATTTTTTTATACATTTGGAGCATGGCGTGGTTTATAATTTTTTAATGACAAGAAGTATTTTCTGAAAGGTGTTTCACGTTTCACTGAGTGTGCTTTTATCATTATCAAGATAAATCTAGAAATATCAGATAAATCTATAATAAAATTGTCCATCCCAAACTTAGGATGCCTGTCTACAGCTAGCTCCGCCTGAGAACAGGCCCTAAGCTAATTACCCGACATTTTAATTCCTACATCGACGATTTTAGTCGAAAACACTGAATATGCTTTTAGTAATTTTTAGAAGTATTCATTTCTCTTCTATTGTCATATTGAATGAAATTAAATATGTTTATTTAGCCGCTGTGTGTATGAAAGATGTCAAACTAATCAAAGCCCAATCACAAAATAGTCCTCTAATTATTCAATATGGCGGCGCCCATAAAAGATAATTTCACAGAGGCGGTTTTGTTTGCGAAGACATTTTAGGAGTATCTAACCTTGTTTTGAAAGATAAACAGATTGAAACTCTAAAGACAGTTTACAATGGCAATATTACCCACTAGTACATATTATATATCGCTTTTATCGGATTGGCAGAACTTGACATTTTGCTAAAGACATGTGTTTACATAATAAACGTGCGTGCTCGGGTTATTTTTACTCTGTTGTGTACACAAAGCCGTAGTCCGGTCGATAAGTCCCGCCCCAAAATGACCACGTGAGCGTTTTAAATGGCGGTTAATTGGGGCAGTGCAAAGCCCTGTATAGGGAAAGTTACGACAATTCATTTCCAGGCGCCATTTTGGGTCCCAATTATGACGCCATAAAAGCTATGACGTCATGGCTTCATACAGGTTTACATACCAAAATGTTTTTTTTCTTGCAGTATTAGGCGTTGAGGGATAACGTTTTACCTTAAACAAAATGCAAAAGAAACCAATGCAGTTTCGTTCCTAGATAAATATAGGCCTATCACACAAAATCATACTCAAAATCGGGGAATTTTCTGAGAGCGATATCTCGTAATCAGTGTGTTTTACTATATACTGGTGGAATTATCAATGATTTCTTTTTAAAATTACCCAAACACAGAGTGGTTATGCAAGCGAAATGTGCCGAAGAATCGAATTTGATAAACATCAATTTAAAAAAAGGATTTTTATATGGTGCCGGGTGTTTCTTTCATAATGGCCGCCAAATTTGGTAATATTATTATTATTATTATTACAGCATATTTATAGCGCGCCCTATCATAAAACATGTTCAGGGGCACTTTACAAAGTGACAATATAATCATAAATAAACAACAAGATTATGGACATCTTAACGATTGTATACAGAGTCAGTTAAAAGCCTCATTAAATAAATGTGTTTTAAGTTGTTTTTTAAAAGGATATAAGGTCCATGATCTCATGTACGTAATGTTCGGCCATTATATCGTGGTTATGTACGCGAAATGAGCGGAAATCGAATTTGACAAACATCAATTAAAGAAATGTATTCTTCATGTGGTGCCGGGCATTTCTTTTAAAATGGCTGCCGAATTTGGCAATATAAGGCCATTTAACAAAATACCCATAAATTTGGTATAATAAAAGAGCATCTCTTAAGATACGTAAGATATGACTTTTGCTAGGGTGACCCATGTACTCACAGAAATACAGTCCACCGCTGATAGTTCGAGACTACCACTGAAGCGTGCACATTCGCCGTGCCGAGACCAACTTTCTGACAGTATGGTACTATAAATAGCCCTTGCACGTGCAATTCTCTACAAATCTATCAACTATTACAGCCGTAAAAAATTTATTGTTGACGATTTTGAATAGCAGTAAAATTAAGCTTCTTGGTTATTACAGCAGATTTAGAAATTACGTTCGTTTCATTTTTTAAATCGCTTTATATTAACTGTACCGTTAAGAGCGGCATCTTTTGGTTTAGTACAAATAATATCTCTGAATCACTCCGGTTAGACAGGAACATGATACTAGCAGTAGTTTCATTTTACTTTTACAAGCTTCTTAAAACGATTGTTGAGCTACCTAATGTGCTTATTTCTAAATTCAATTTCTTGTTCTAGCTTTCTGTTATGTTTCGTAAAAAAAGTAGTCTTGATTATCCCGACCTGTCAATCAGACGTAGAATGGTCGATAGACTGGTTAAGCGAGACTAATTTCAAAACAAGGGCACGTAACCTATCTTTTACTCAAAAGTGTCTGGATGTTATGGACGACTCTTGGAACCAGTTTTCAGTCTATTATTTATGTATTGTTTAATGGTCGAGAGCGAGACATTAAGTAATATATTGTAACAACATGAGGGCCGTAGGCCCGAATGTTTTTACAATATATTACGCAATGTCGTAAGCTCGAGACCATTAAACATCTTAAAATACTGACACTCAGCACGAGCTTTTACGTCACATTAGTCCAATATCTCACTGGTTTGAATAAAGTACTATTGGCAAGTTGCCCGTACGATTATTTGAAATAATGGTACGCCAACATCAAAGGGTGACGTCACATCTGTATTTTAAACATGATTAATGGTCATAGCTTATTAAGTACAACATGATCGTTTATTTAGTGACTATAATTGTGTGAAACTGATTTGGGGCTTGGCATATATATAAATATTGTGGCGTAATTGTCGAGATATATGGAGATATTTATTTATGGTGGGTCACCCTACTTTTGCTATGTCTTTTATATGGTTTTCGATGTCTCTGAATTTGAATATAAATTTTGAAAATACAAAATAGCAGCAACACAAATTGGCGGATATTAAATTAATCGTCATTTTTCCTGTTGGATATTAGATAGTGTCTCTAAACTATGAGGTACACGGTAGTTCGATGTACCCTGTAGTTAAGATACAGTCTCCAAACCGTGTTTACACTGTAGTTTGGGTGTAGTTCGTCAAATGAAGATGAACTTTACGATATATCCATCCTGAAATAACAAAAAATGAATATATTGTAAACGCGCTTTAAATATCTGGATGCGATTGGCAATAATAAAATCCAATTTTAGTTTTTAGTTACACACTGTTAACCACCAATAGATGTTTTAATGACAAGGCGAACTTGTTCTATTGTCCCATTGTCCCATTTACTCACCCCACCCTCGCATTGTTATGTATATTCTTGTTTCACTTGACTAAAGAAACATTTTTTAGGAATGTGTGCTTTTATAGATTGGACACTTGTTTGCTATATCAAATAGCGGAGGCGGGGTTTCAGCCGGCTGATTTAAATTATTTCTTTAAATACAGTAAAGCTTGAAATATGTCAGTTTTCACTCTTTAGAATGTTTTTGTAATCAAGTTTTTATTGTAGTTTCCGTGACGTATTCCCAATAAGCGTTAGAAACAAAGATATATACCCTTAATCCTGGTGCCGATAAATGTTGGGTTGTGTGGAACATGCTAATAAATCTCAGGTACGATATATGTTTGATACTGGTTGATAACAGCATCAGAGCAACATGATTGTTTTCATTGGAAATAAGACGCAAATATTCAAAGGGGTCAGACAAACTCTAAACCAACTGCGTCCCCTTCACTGAGCCCCTTCAAAGGGGGCCCTGTCTGTTTACCTGTGGAATAACATGCATTTGTATCTGTTAAATGTGTGTGGTAGACAGATTGATATTATTTATACATAGGCGGGGGGTGATAACGTCTTACCCCAAACAAATTGCAAAAGAAACCAGGAAGTTTCGTAGAGCGATATTTCGTAATCAGTGTGTTTTAGTGGTAGGGAATAAATAATTTCTTTTTAAATTTTTCAAATACAAAGTGGTCATAGAGGCGAAATATGCCGAAAAACGAATTTGACAAAAATCAAAAAATGTATTTTTCAAATGTATGGCGCCGGGCATTTCTTTCAAAATGACTGTCAAATTTAAAATGGCATTTTCTGACAAGACCAGCGATAATCTCGTAAGATATGACTTTTAGTATGTCTTTTAAATGGTTTTCGACGTCTCTTAAAGGTCACCGCCGAAGTCGTGAAACGCACCGTCGGGGGATTTCTAGAAATTTCAAGCCGGAAAACGCGTTGTCTTGCCAGGCCGTGAATACGGCAACCTGAAAGTGGTCCAATCAACAAATCAATCAATCAGGCTGTTGTCGTTGCATTCACATGACACCAGACGTGTCACTGATGAAACAAATATGCCCGAAGCAAATGTCGCTGTTAGTGCGACCCATTTGTGACAATTTCTAGGTCCCAAATATTAGCGATTTAGCTCCTTTAATAGCGAATGCAAGTTAAATATGTTTAATAGCGCTTTTATCTAGTGTATCTTTTATTTTGACTTTTCTTATAGAATAAGGCTATATAGCAATTATGTGCGCTTGTGTTGTATAATACTAATAATAGTATGTTCAGCTATACTTCTCGTTTAAAAAATGTATGTTTTATCTCCTATAGACACTTATTCGCTGAAATCTA